GCCTGCCCCACCTGGAGGCCTTCATCTATGAGACACTGCGCTACAGCAGCTTCGTGCCCATCACCATCCCGCACGCCACCACAGCTGATGTGGAGCTGGATGGCTTCCACATCCCCAAGGACACCGTGGTCTTTGTCAACCAGTGGTCAGTCAACCATGACTGTCACAAGTGGCACGACCCCCAGCGCTTCGACCCCTCACGCTTCCTGGATGCGCAGCAGCACCTGGACCATGACCGCGCCCGCAGTGTTATGATCTTCTCAGCTGGCCAACGGCGCTGCATCGGTGACCAGCTCTCCAAGCTCCAGATCTTCCTCTTCACTGCCATCCTCCTCCACCAGTGCTCCTTCCATGCCAACCCGGCCGAGCACCTCACGATGGACTGCATCCATGGGCTCGCACTGAAACCGCTGCCCTTCACCATCACCGTGACGCAGAGACACCCCTCGCTGACCAACCCATGAACTGCCCATGCCTGCTGCCTGCAGAGCTCAGCCAAGCGGTCACTCTGCCTGCTGCAAGCAGGGTGCCCCTGCTGTAGGGTGCCCTGGGGAAGGTGAGGGCAGGGGGTGGTGGGTGCCTACTCCCTTGGCTCTGAGAGGGCGTCCCCTCAGCAGTGGGCAGCCCCGGAGGTCTGTGCTGGAGCCTGCTTTGCACGCAGGTGCGTTTTTCCATGATGCTTCCCCACACCTATTTGTAAGGCAAGTGGCAACGGCAGCGACTCCCCATAGTCCTTCAGCAATAAAAGCCTTTGACACAGCAACTGGCTCTGCTCCTTTTCTTTGGGGGGAGGCTGGAAGCATCATTCACACAGGGCCCAGGGCTTCCCTCCTTCCACGGGGGCAAGTGCAGCTCTCCTGGTACTCCCCAGTGCTGCGGCAGCCCTGGAGATCAGTAGTGATCACGCTGTGCTGCCACTATCTCTGCTGGAACAAGTGCCAGTTCCAGCGGGCCAGGACTTCCAGCTGAATCAGTATCATGGTGCAAAACTAAACCACATCCCACTCAGGGCGCACTAACAGGAGCGCTGCCTGCAGAGCAGAGGAGGGGGGTTTTTGGCTCAGGACTGAGCCCTGCTTTGACCAGGGCACCCAGGGAGACAGGCCAGCCAATCTCAGGAGAGCAGGGGGTTGGGAAACGGGAGCTCTGGGGAAAGGACCTGGCTGGGGATGGGGAACATGACAGGAGCACTCCCAGGACACACGGGAAGGTTATTAAATGGCTTTTCCTGTTGCCCCAGGCTGGAGCAAGGGGTAATTTGCTTCATCTGTTGCTGCAGAAGGCTGGAGTAAGAGATGCAGAGGAAATGCATTTGCCAACATCCAGAGAAGTCAAGCAAAAGCTAAGGGAGGCTGGGGGCGGGGGGAAGGGAGGAGTTGTCTTCTCACTGGAGTTTAAGAGTTTAAAGAACAGCTACCAGGGACAGTCTAGATAGACTTAATCCCACCTCAGGGTGGGGAGGCAGCCCCCTGGCCTCTCAAAATCCCTTCCAGACCTGCAGTTCTGCCCCAGTAATTTTAACCCATGAGCAGGCAGTGCCCAGATCTCCCTTTTCTGGTTTAGGTGCCCCAGGAGGCTCAGGTGGGTATTCAGGGTCCTTGCACAGCGTCGCATCCCTTCTCTGGGATAGAGAAACGGCTACATCTGCAGTCAGGAAAGCTCATCTCACCTGCCTAAAAGCCACATGCTGCAGAAGAATGAGTCTGTGTCATTTTCCATCTAAAGACATCCCTTGACAATCTGGCACTGGTTTTATCACTGTGCTCATGTACACCTGCCTTGGCCTGTCCTGGCAAATGTAAGGCACATAAAGATGGGCCCTATCCAGACTCTACAACTAATGCCTTCAGCATCTGTTCCCCAAACCCCTGGCTGGGGTGCAGCTGCCCTTTGAGGGCCCTCTTTTCCATGTCCAATACCATTTCCCCCAGGGCAATGCAGGGGACAACCAACAGACAAAGGTACTTCTCATTCTATAAGCCTCAGCCCAAAGTGAGAAAAGGTTTTGGAAAGCCAAAAGCTTACATAGGACTGCTTTCCTGAAATGGGACACGATACGTCTCCAAAGTCATGTTATTGCCCCAAAATTTAATTCTTGAATTACATCTGGCAGCACAACCTGCAATTGTAAAGAAATCCTCCTTTATTTGGCACAAAGAACTGAAGTCCCTCGTGTATCCACGAAGTAAATAATCACTCCTAGGTAACTATTACTACCTTGTATGCAGCTGACTTTATCGCACTTTCTTACCACGACTTTAAAATGCATCACTGAATTGCTAGTGCAGATAAACACATCCAACCTAAGTTAATAGAGGTGGCTTTACCTCAGGTTATCTTCATATTTATATGGTTTCCAAAAGGGAGGACAGAAACAGCCACAGAAAGCTACAACCGTGCAGATCTCAGCGCACCCAGCAGAAGTTTCAGAGGATGGTACAAATAACTTCCTAATGGCAGTAATTTACCAATAGTGAAAACTTCCTGCAGAGACCTTCACAATCAGTAAAGCTAGGCTTTCTTTTTATTTTATTTTATTTTATTTTATTTTATTTTATTTTAATTTATTTTATTTTATTTTTTTTTTTGTGGGAAGGGGAAGGAAACAATTTTCTTTCTGTTAAAATTATGCACAGAGGTAGGTGGGAAGGGACGTCTGGAGGTCTCTAGCTCATCCTCCGGCTGAAAGTAGGGCCAGCTAAAGCAGGTTGCCCAGCTTTGACTGTCTCTGAAGATGGAGACTCCACGACCTCTCTTGCCTTTCTCACAGCAATCTCCATGGGCTGCTAAAACCTGTGAGCACAAACAAGACAGTGTTCAACAAGAGTTTCATAAGACTAAGTTTTAAAAGGAAATGCAAGCTTTTGACTCCTCTCCATCTAGGTTTTGATACATATCTGCGTCCTGGTAGATAAAACCATTACTTGAGATGTCATAAAACAAACAAAAAAATTCCATCTTTCAGCATTATTTACTGCCCCATCAGAGTTTTGCCTATAATTTTCCACAGCACCATGGACAGTCATCTACAGCTTTTATAGTCCAGCTAGGGGCTCTTTGCATGAAACCTAACTCTGTCCTCCGGAGATGCTATTACAGACTTCTGTGCTCCTTTACTGGTAGCCAGTCTTTCCAATGAGGACAGCAGGCTAGTTATTTATTCAAGCTTATTTTACAGTTAAACTAAACTGGAGGAATGAATTTCAGAAGAGTTGCAAGGTCTTAGCCCACCTCTTTGAGTCATCTCAGAGAACGAGGATGCTTTCAAGTCCATCTTGCACTGCAATGCTTCCAGTGCCCCTATGGTTAACAGAGCCAACATGGCTACCATAACCTAATGGGAACTGTTATAAAGTAAAGGCATCAGCAGTAATTTGAGTCCAGCCCACCACATGAGATTCATGTCATGACACTGTGTAAACCCACAGTTCATCTGCATGTTGAACACCGTGTGCAGTTTTACTCCCCCTTTTTCTCCCCTGCAAAAAAGTGAAGATGACCCAAGGTGTGGAATTGCTCCTTTACAAGCAATGCCTACATAGACTAGTGCTCAGCAGGCTGGAAGAGAGAGTGCTAAAGAGATCCTGCTCTGTAAAATCCTGAGTGGCATGGAAAACACAAATAGGCAATTGTCTCTTCCAGTACAAGAATTAGGGGCACCAAAAACCCCGAGCACTTTGAAAGGTCAACGCAAAGGAGATGATGCTTCCTCACACAGCGTATGATGCGGATGGTGAAACTTCTTGCCACAGGATGCTCTGGTTGCCAAAAAAATGTGTTTAAACTAATTCTTGGAAGAAAATCCATATAGGGCTATTAAACACAAAGACACCACCACTCATCGAGAATACTAAAACCATAAGAAACTGGAGACTGTGAGAAGACGCTGAAGTATCGCTCTATGTGCCTCGTATTATACTTTTCCTTACACATGTGCAGCTGGCTGACACAGTAAGGCCACTCTTACATTCAGCCCCTTGTGCAGGCCCTCCCATTATTAAAATTAAACATTCTCGTGTTCTTTACATAACGAATACCAACAAGGAGGAAAAGGCTCTCGGCTGAAGTTGAGCGCGCTATTATTCACTTTCATGCTTCACCCTGAACTACTGCAGAGACCGCCGTGCCATCTATGGACGTAGCAAATGTAAATCGAGGCCACATGCACAGCGCAGTTCAACGGCCATGGGGTTATCCCTCCCTTGCTTGCAAAGCTGTGTTTCGGCATCTGGGTTTCCTTTTTAGCTCAAGAGTCTAGCCTGAATGAGGAGTGAAGAAAATCACTCAGCACCCGCCCTATGTATAAGCCATTTAAAGTTGGGGCTCTCCAAATCTTTATCTTGAAGATTTAGATGTACACATTTTATATGGAACAGAAATTGTTCCACTGCGCTAGCTTACAGCAACGCCTTGCAAAGGGTAGGACTGTAGCTCTTATTTCCGCAGGGGGAAATCTGCTTACGGTAACTACTCGGACGATTTTGCAATGCTTTGACCACCTCATTTTTCAAGTTTAGCGAAAGAGACGCTGCCAGGTAATATGATTTTTTTTTCTCTCTCTCCAATAGAAGCACAATGCTGGGAAATACGTTGTGTATTTACAGTCCCCTGTGTCCAAACCTCATTCCCGCTCCTCATCTAAGATTACAGCCGTCTTTGCAAATAGGCAGGTATTGCACAGCTTCCACTGTAGTTTAGCTACTGAAACTCTGGAGCATGCTCTCTGTTGCTCAGCAAAAGGCACACAAGCGAAATAACTGGCTGTAAAGCTAGACTTTTACTAAAAAGAAAAGCAACTAATCTAATCTTTTCCTCTGAAAAATTCACTGTAGATATGCAGACAAGCCAAGCAGGAATTCTGCAGAAATCTAGGAGCCTTTTGCTTCCCGTAAGCAATTCAATTATTAAAGCTTCATCCAAAAGGCATGCAGCTTTTACACAGGCAAGTTGACATGAGCCCAGTAAAGAAGAAACTGACTTTTGTTGTGGTATACATTTTAATGATGAGAACTCTCCCTAAATAGAGAAGGATCCTATATTATTTCATCCTCCTTCAGGGTCTTGAGCCACTCCAATTTTCACTTTTGGGAAGCAAAAAATTAAATACATCTTGTTAAGAGAACTAAATTTCTAGCTACATAAGCTGTTAAGGTCATGTTTTCATGTGTAACTGATGCTGCAATGTCTGCCTATGTGTGCAAAATCTGAAATTAATTCATATGTCAGGACCAACTCAGGTCTATAGCAAACTGATTTTGTCACAACTTGTTCCTTCATCTCTTTCTTCTCCCAATTTTGGCATCAATTTCCCCCCGTGATGAAAGTGTTTCCCTTAAGGTCAGCTTTATCTCTGATTTTAAAATGTGCTTTGCATACAGGACAATAGAAACAAAGTCAGATTATGTACATTTTATTTCTAGCGGTGTTTCAGGTTGGAAAAAAACAGTTTATTGTAATATTCAGGAGATTTTGAAGTAGGCTTATGCTAAAGTAACTCAGAATAAAACAGTGACTGTTCACTCACATCAGCATAAAAGAAAAGTTAGTCAAAAATTACCGTAAAAACATGAGAGTATGCATATTGCATGCAAGCCTCCTACTTCAGGTTCTCTCTCCAACCAAGCAGGATCTGATCAGGTCAGTTTTTGCTAGGGAATTTCCAAGGCACATCAGGAAACTGCAAGTGTCATTGAACCAAAGAAATCTTGATTTAGAAGAAACCTCAAAGCCCGGGTGGGAGTGAGAATGATGACTGTCCCATTTCTTAGTAGAAAGTGATGTTGACGTTTCTATTCCAATACTGAGTAAGAACTTTCCCAGCACATCAGATGCATGGTCACAGCTCTGGCATGCTCTTTTTATTGGAAACCAACTACTTTACTGAACTTGTCTGCTTTTAAATCCCTTTCTCTGAATAGGCTATACTGTCCTAAGCCACAGGGCCAATACTCCTGTCCTCTCTTTTCTCTAAGACGTCCAAGTTGCTTAAGAACACTTTCTCAAACTTACTATCTTGTGCATGCTCTAAGCTGTTATTCACTTGATCATTAAGTTCTTAACACTCAAGCATTACAAAATTACATCTGAAAGTCCTTCACCAGTCAAAAACTTCTGATGGTCCAAGAGACAAACGAATCTATGCTAAACAATAGGACAGGATGAGGATAGGTACCTCATGTCCTTTCCTGACTCAGTTGCCTCAGTAGGTCACACCTTCCTTGGGGCTAAACCACACTGCCTGTGCCATAAGGCTCATCTCATAGAGCCCTGTTTTCTGCTTCCAGGGTCCTCTTTCTCTCTCCAAAGTAGGTGAGAAGAAGCCCTCCCTTATAAGTTACAGGTCCTGTTGTTAGGCTAATTACAATTCTCTATAGGGTGATCCAGTACAACTGGCACCCAGGCTGGCCAGCCTCTTCCCTCTGAGATAGCTGTCATGGTTTAACCATGCTCAACAGCTAGCCCTACATCTGCTTACTAGAATTTCACCTCAACAAGGAAATAAAAGGAAAGAGATTGCAAACAAGCTGACCACTACATATAGCCCTATTTCTACACCATAGAAAGTTGAAGCTGTCAAAGGGGTACTTACTAATGCTCAGAGGGCCATCTTCTGAGTGAGAACTTCCCCTGTTGTGTCTTCTGTGTGGGGGAGAAAGGCCAAATATGGCCTTTTGGATAATGAAGGCAGAACACACTACTCACACCTGGTCACAACTGATTATACACATTTATTTAAAAATAACTTCCCTTGGAGTACATCATTTACCACCATGTGTGGCTAGATTACTTTGGTGCCTTTAAAAAAAATGTAAGTACCAGTCAATATATTTACATACAAAATCTGCTACAGGTGTAACCCACATTATTTTATATAAAACATTGATACATAAACAATAATGTTATATGTTATTTCCCCATACTTTCCTATTGTATTTGTCATACTGTACATGCATATAAATACAATGACATTGTATAGACAAATTTTCTCCTGGTGGTTGGATTTCTTCACCTACAAATGTATTGACATAAAGAGCAAGATATCAACACAAACAGACCTTAAAACTTAACCAGTAACTTAAAACAGACCCACTTTCTCCCTGGATTATGAATACTTTATTTCAAACAGAACAGCACTGTGAGGATAAATTGGTTAGGCAGCTTCAATTATTCTTTAATATAGTAACTTAACCACAGGTAGGTATGCTTTAAAAATAAGACAAGACTAGCTCCAGATAACTATCATCTCTCACCCTGTGATAATACTTGAAGAACGGCTTCTAAAGTAAGCAGGGCAAAGAGCCTTTTTACCAAAGTTGTACTATACAAATCTGTAACTTCTTGTGGTCCTGGAATGTACACAGTGCAGGCATCTTCAGGAAATTCACATTATACGCTAGGAGCGGTCAGTAAAGTATGTGCAAATTTAAAAAAAAAGTATTGATTTCTGTGTTGTCTCAAAGCTATTCAAGTGCATTCCCCTTGTGAACAGGAGTGGCTTCCCTCGTTGCCATCCTTCCTAACATGCATTAAAAGAGCCTAAGGAAAGGAGGCTTCATATTTTATTGCTTACAAAAAAAAATTAACATTAAAAAAAAATTCCAAGCATTGTTGATCAGGAAGTGTTGAATTACACAGCCTTGCCTTACCTCCACATCAACTGGAAAACTATACTATCAGAATTATGTTCACTAATCACATTCTTATTCATAGCAAGCAAGAAAAAAGAAAACTAAAAAGGTTCATTTGATCATTATGTCATAACTTCCTGGAGATCAGAACGGAAACAGCAAAATATAGCTTTATCTGTACTTGAAAGGGTCTGCAGGTTCTGGCACCTCCTTTCATCAGGTTTCTAGAGATGCATTAAATAGGTTCCTGCAGATACATCAGACTAGAAAAATATCTGTTAAATGCAAATCTCCACCCTAGCCATTTAAGCAGATGCTGTGCCTCCACAGGAAGTCTTTCCGGTATGAACACCAGAATAACAGACCTCGAAACTTCAGATTCCCTAAGGAAGGGACAAGACCACACACATAAAGGACAAATGGAAGTGGAATGCCAGACCTTATTCTTCTAACCCAAAATTGAAGTCTTTTTTTTTTTTTTTTTTAAATACAAAGTGAAGTAGGCAATCAAATGGCATAGACCTTTAAGTATTCACAGAAGTTTGTGCCCTTGCAAAATAATCTAAGAAGTAACATCAACTGAAAAGAATTAACACAATTTAATTATCACCCTATCCTCTATGGAAGCACATACTTTTACTCAAAGATAGAAAGGATTCTGGTCACAGTCCCATATGCCTTACATAAATCTTTTGAGGTGTTTCATCAAACACTTTCTCTCCCCATGAAGAAACTTACTTAATTGTCTGTCAGCAAGAAAAACAAAATTTGGGTCTAATTCCAGAATATGCTTTGTTTAGCTGGTAACTCAAAGCATTTTTCTTGTGTGAACTTTTACCAAAGGCTCCTTGTTTGGAGAGGTGCTTCAGACTGATAAGTCACCTTGGCAAGAGATCAATTAATAACATTGTTTCCTCATTCACACCCCTTCTAAAGTTAACGGGAGTAGTGCCTTCATCCTAAACAACATAAGCGGGATGCACCCACATGAAAAATTCTAACCTAACCCAATACAAAATCCAAAGCAGTAAGTAAAAGGAAGAACAAATCAGCAACTCTTCTCAAACCTACTTCGTCTACGCTGACTGGCAGTCTCTAATTTTAATTAGAGACATTAAAAAAATAAATAGACATTAAAAAAAAAACCTGAAAGTCAAACTAAAATATAAGTTGTTGGAAACAGAGAGAGAAAACTACTACCAGAAAATACATAACTGAAAGACTCCTCAGAACAGTTTAATGTTTTGACAAGTTAAAGAACGGCTGAAGGCTTGCACTTGTTTGCAAATAAGTAAAGCTACTATCCCTTGGTATTGTAAATATTTCTTTTCCCACTCCTCCTATTACATATGCTGAAACCTTTTACTTTTAGAAGAAGGCAATGTTTAAACAACACATAGTAGCAAACATGATTTATTAATATCACCCTAGAAGTTGCTGGTAGGGAAGGGTACCTGAGTACCCTGCTACTTTTAAGCGTATCACAAGAACCCCTCATTCAGCAACTGTTTTGTTTTGTGAGCTGTTATCAGTTCTCTCCAGGTAAACACCTGCAAACCTTCTGTGAAAGGATCAAGTAGCTGATCGTCCTCTTTTGGAAATCAGTGCTGAGAATGTGGATTTCACATCTGGATTTTTTTTGGTTTAAGCAACCAAAAAGAAAAATTAAAATCTTGTGCAAATATTTAAAGACCAGGTGTTCAGAAAACCCATATGGCCATCCACTGGGAAATACTCAAAACAAGAGATTCATATAATGTTCTCATATCAAGCAAGACAGACAGCCTGATCATTCCATTGAATGAACTAAAAAGAGCAGCATACATTAAGTATTGAAGAGTTCTGCAGTTAAGATCTAGTGTCCACTGATCAGGAAGGGAGCTTTGCCCCCCAAAATTGTGATCATTAAGCCTGTTGGAATTCAGCACTCCATTTAAGGCATCAATTTTTAATAGTTTCAGACAAATAAAGCTAATTCTGCATTTGCTTGGATCTCACAAGACAGTTCAGCCTCAAAATTTTCAAGGGGTTATTTTGGACAAAAACCTAACTAAAAAGTGCCAATTCTAGAAAATGAGAAGTTTCTGAGCTTGACTTTGGTGCGCATTTGCCCTTCAATTTTATTTGCATGAAGTAGAAGAGCTATAATCCTAATACATACATATAACCAACTTAAAAGGCAATTGAGAAATGTTTTACTCTCACGCTTTACTCTTTTACTTCATAGCAAAATTAAACATGATACAATATTACAAAATGCAACAAATCATAAAAAATAAGCATCAAGTTGCCTGCTCGCTGCAGCTTAGGGAAATTACTGAATGCAGTTTTTGTTTCAACATATTTTTCAGTGGACAGCACAGCTGACCTTTGTTTTGATACCTAGAACCTGTCAGAACAAACATCAATTGTCAGCTTTATTTTTTCCAGTGTCATCGTGTTAGTCAGCAAGAACATTACATTGAACTGTCAGTTCTACCACAAAATATTTCTTTTCCTGTAACAAACATGTCATTGATAAATAACTGCTTTTCAAACTAAGCTAGTACATCTAAACCATAGCAGCATAGTTCAGAGGAACACACAGAGCTTCCACGCTCATTTGAGTGAAAAGAGTAACATCACTGGGAGGAAGTCCTCAAGTTTAAAATCTTATTACTTATTTCTCCAATGAAAGTAATGTTTCTCTTAAAAATAGATTTCATATTGTGAAGGAACTCTCATTGTTGCCTTGACAGTAACTCATTACAGCGAGCAGCACTGGTTTCTGCTCAATGGAAAACCAGCAGGCAATTAGGTATGCTTGGAAATGAACAACAGGAGCGCGTTTTCAATACCATCATCAATATTGTCATAGTAAGGAAGAAAGGGCTGACAACTCACTTTTCTAAGGCATTGTAGTCTTTTTTTTTTTTTTTGGTAGTTATCTTTATCAGAGTGTCCCTACTCATTCGAGTCAATATGCTGAGGGAGGTAAGAACATCCCACTGCCTTCAGTGCATCAGGCTGATTTAAAAAAAAAAAACAACAAAAAAACAAAAAAATCCCACAATGGTAGACAGACCACTGATCACAATGGCTCTAAACTTTATCTCGCTGAAACATTCTATGCAAATGACATGTAATCAGTTATTTCAATTGATTACATTAATATAGTATATTAAGGAAAAGACAAAATAGTTAATCAGAAAAAATCTTCGCTGAAGACTCCCTCAGGAATCAGATAAGAGAGCTCACCATCAAGTTCAGGTTGGCATGTAAAAAGCAATTGCATTTCCCAAATGGCATCCTTGTGACAGCTTGTTACGTGTGCAGAATTTGTGCAATAAATTTTTTTCAAAGTTTACATTAAATGAATGTGAAAAACAGAATCATGTAGAAGATAATCAGAAGCTAATGAATACAATTAGCTAATCTAATTCTTAAATCAAAAATATCCAGTGCTGTAAGAAGGGAATCAGACAATCAAAAATTTTATCTGATTAAATTCTATCAAGATCTTTTCCTGGAACTGCTGATGAGACTGCCATGCATTTTTCCCTCTTGTAAACTCTTGTGGCTTATCCATGAAGTGCAATCAAATTGGTCAGGATCGTGAAATCCCTTTAACTGGAATTTTACTGTCTGTGTAGTATCAAATGTAATGAGCTCTTAAATACTTATTCTTCCCAGATTAACTGCATCTCCTCAAGTTCTCTCTTGCTTTCGGCATCCTGGAAATGCAATAAAATAACTGATAAATATGCAGCCTAACTTAAAGAATTAGAAAAGACAGCTGAATTTCCTTTTTCTTCTCCAACCCCATAACAGGCTTTAAATACCTCTTCCACCCCTCCATCTCTTCTGAACGGTTCTTTTTATGTACATTACTGAACACTATTGTACATTCTGAATATGACCGTCTTTGATGTCTATTTATGTTTTCCCCAAGAATTAAAGAGAGTTTTCCTTATGTTTCCTTTTAAGAAAAGAAATGAGAATTAGAGTAGCAAAATTCTATCCTTTGCTCTGTCACTGACTTTCTTATGCTGGTGAAGTTCCTTATTTCTTGCTTCTCTATATGATGGAAGTTATTAGACTCCCTCTTTGAGATGAAGAGAACTAATGTTTGCAAATACTTAAGCTGTTAAAGTCACTTAAATATTGGCTTCCTTACTAGACTCCCATTTTTTGAAAAAAAGAGAATGGAGTGTTCATGCCTTTCTGCCCCTAGCTTTCTCCCAGTCTTTCCTGAAAATCTCAGTGCTTTTCTGATTAAGTTCTTATGCTTCTAGGTATAGGTGTATCTATAGGTATATATAGGCATTTCTTGCTCTTTTGGAAAAAGGTTCTGTTTCTATTTATCAAATATACCATTCTAACTCTGTTTAGAGAGATTTCCAATCAGTCTACGGTGAGGAAGCTACTTATTTGGCAGAGCTAGGATATTTCCTTCTGGAAGAAGGAAATTCTGCTTGATACCTTGGCTTCCCTAGATTTGCCAGGATACAGTAGCCAAGTAATTTATGTAGTACTGGGTAGTGCCCTGCAGGTGGTAGCACAGGCAAATCAGCATGCCACCAGATGGTTGGCTGAGACTCGCATACTTGTGAGGCTCAACAGAAAACTTTCAGTGTAGCAACACAAAGACTAATTATGGCCTTAAAAACTGAGTATCATGAAAATGCTGCACATGTTTATAATGCAGCTTTACATCCAAAATGTTTATTCTGTCTGACTAAGGATGAAGGAGTAAATTCTGGAGGACCGGTTTACATTACTTCACTTGCATTTTTCATGATAATGCAAAGAGCATCTGATTAAAACCAAAAGCTGCGGTGTTTTTAATCAGTTTCTAACTGGCAGTGATTTGCTGGCACCTTCTGTACAGTTTTGGCTTAACAGGAAATAAAAAGTGCAAAAAAGAACTCCCAGTTGGGAAATACTGTCACACAGCGCTTTCTAAAACACAATACAGTCTATTTTTCATAACCTTGGGAAAGTAATGGAACAGCTGGAATATCCTAGGTAAAAAACAAACAAACAATAAACCCACAGATGCTGGGCAGCACACAGCAGAAACATCCAATCAGTTCCAGCCTACAGGAGCCTAGAAGCTGATTTGGCACCAGTGCAGTCAAATCTAGGCTGCTCCTCCAAAGCCACACAGGTAATCAGAGCAAGTAACACAGCACTGCAGCCCGAAGACAACCACTTAGCTTAAGTACGCCCGACTGAATTAAGCGGGCTACATACAACAGTGCCTAAACTAAAAAACCTTCCTCAAAAATGGCACACTGGGCAGCATGCTGCAGGTGCTCAGCAGTTTTGCAGAAATGCCATTTTGTGTGTTGCAGTTAAGACCTGCTGATTTTGTGCAGGGCATTCAGATGCATCTATAACCTGACCCTAGAAGCAGCACCAGAGTATTTGCATGGTGTTGTGCTGGACTTCTAAGCCCTGTTAGAGTCTACCTGGTTTGAAGGAAGTCAGTCTGGGTCTGTCTACGTGTCTGGAATGGTTGATAGGAAGTCCAGATAAACCACTCCACTCATCAACCCTCTGCCATCAGTTAAGTATGTTTCTTGGAAATTCCAGGAGCTGCTGAGTGAAAGCAATATGATTCTTTACACATTTTAATCACTGTCCATTTGGAACAGCAACAGTGAACTGGCTTCACTGTTGCCATTCAATCAGAAACAGTGACATAGTTTAGAATCACATCAAATTTAACTGCCAGCTGTGAGGACAGACAACATTGGTGCCTCCTTTTAAGGGAATCCTAAAGACTACTGCAGCCTCAGTTAACTTGCATTTGCAGCCACGTCACTCACAGGACGACTGATTTATGAATCCAGAAGCCCAGGGAACCCTGTGCCAGGACAGACTAACAGCAGGCTATCTGTGAGCTCTGTAAAATTAGGAATTTAGATTTTGAGTCTCAGCGCAAGTCAGCACTTCCAAATTCACAGCAGTGCCCCATTTCTACTTCAAGGCTTTCAAGTTTCCTGTTGTAATATCAGGATCCGATATAGGTGTGACAGCAAGGAACCTGGGATTCTAAAGTAGAGCAGATCACATCTTGGAGTGCTCTAGGCTCAAGGACTTGAAAAGCAGAGCTTTCCAACAGCTTATATTGACAAGGATACCAGGGGAGTTTCAACATAACAGAAGTTCAAACTCCCCATATTTCCATATAGCTATTTTTGCTTGGAAAAGTTCTGACCGGCTATAACGTTAATACAAGACAAAGAGTTCGTGACTTGCCTTTGGATTCCAAGCTGAATTTGAAATACTGGCAAAATCATGTAGAGGACAGATGAGGTCATTTAAGCCTACTAAGTAAACTAAGTAAAGTCACGAAAAATGGTGAAACTTCTACCTTTTACCTTCTACTTCTACCTTTTAAGCATTCATACTACATATAGTTTCAAGGCTTCTGGCATTTCCTGCAGTATCTTTCATTCACAAAGAATTAGAAACACTATCATATGATGGAATAGTAGATTTTCCTTTTTTCTTTTCGCTGGTTTTCTTTGGGGTGAGGGGGTTGCTTTTTTGATGGGAGATTTTAAGGTCTCCCTCTGATTTTCACCATGCCATTCTTGCATAGCTACTTTTTAGAGTGTTGCGACACTTTAAACAGGAGAGCGAGAAATAACCATACAGAAAGGGAAAAATATGTCTTTCTAAGTTTGAGAGAAAACGTTTTCTAAATTTCATAATGCTAGTAAATAACATGTTACATAGAATGACTACACTGTATTTTAGTATTTTTTTGGCCAACTTTCTGCCTTTTTGTTTGCAATAGCTGCTACATTATCCACAGTGGATATATTCTCAATTACTTAATATTTTTCATTATTTTGCTGACTGGCTTTAGGCACTCTGATAGTAGGTCCAAAGGAAAGGGAAGTCCATGCTAAGGAACAAATTCCAATAAAGCTTGGGCTTGCAACCTGGAACTTCTTTTAGAAGACTACTTTATCTCTGAAACCAAAAGTAGCTCACCATCAACCTGTGGTTACTGCACTTTTTTCAAAAGAAGTATCTTAAATTTCTGGACCTGTTCTACTTTTGGTGAAATAGACTCGTAACACTCATCAATATAATTTGGCTTTTAAACTTGTAAGGGAATTGTCTTTCCATTTTCTAAGAGCAGAGTGGAAGTATACACAGAGGAAATTTTAGCTTCAGCTCAAAGTGACAGATATGAACCACTGAAAGACTGGAGTATGGAGAAGTCTACATCTTTAATTGTTTACACCTAATTCAGAGTATCTAAAGTAGCCTGATAAGGTTTTAAAGTGACTATCATTCAACTTAATTTTATTAATTAACACATTATTTTAATGCAAATTGACCCTCAACCTTAAATTATCCGACTGGGATTTCCAAATTTTCTCCATGATCATTTTTGCCACTTTAGCACATATATGGAAGATTTTACATAATCTCATTTGATGCGATGGGTCAAAAGTATACAACATAAAATTAATTTTGGCTTATTTTCTTGGAAAATAATCATATTCCACTGTCAGTAAAACAAAACAGCAGTGATTGCTACCTCCTTAGTATTAACTGGCAGCTCTGAAGCAAGATTCATCCAGAGAAGAGCTGCAGAGTTATTCCCCAGGTCCCTGTAACACTGTAAAGAAAAAAATGACAACATGAGAGGAGTTAAAGAAGAGATAGCAGACAGGAAAAAGTAACTGAGCAATTACAGAAGGCACCTAGCAACTGACAAAAAGCACTACTACTACCTTTTAAGCATTCATACCACATAGTTTCAAGGCTTCTGGCATCTCCTGCAGTATCTTTCATTCACAAAGAATTATAAACACTATCACATGATGGAACAGTAGATTTTCCTTTTTTCTTTTCGTTGGTTTTCTTTGGGGCAAGGGGGTTGCTTTTTTGATGGGAGATTTTAAGGTCTCCCTCTGATTTTCACCATTTCCCCTGGTCCATTTTTATTCCACTTACACGGTCATTATTCCTTGTATCATTTTCATCACGAAACCTCAATACAGTCAGCACATCATTTAATGAAGCTCTTTGCTTCCCTAGGCCTTTGAAAACGAGGTCCAATTGCAAGCACTGTATAATATATCATTTACAGGTCTCTGAGGTTTCACAATAGGCATGAAACATTCTTTTTTGGCTTGAAGTCTTCTCCAACACGACAGATACAGTTATCCCTCTAGCACAGGAAAGCCTCATGGTTTTTTGATGCCTAGCGAGTCATGGAAGCATTTTGGAACTGTGAAATAAGCATGTTAACAGGAAATTGCTGCTAAAAAAGATCAGCAGAAAAGGTTAAGCACGCTTGTAATTACCATAAAAATATTATATATTCCTTCAACGCAAACAAAAAGATCTTCAGAGCTCCAGCTTCAGACCAGTACATTCACTGTTAATTTAATCACCTCTTAAGGCTGCCATCTGTGCTGGCAAAACAGAAACATACAGTATACTTTACTTTTTCCCCCCATGATCCTCTTCCTGCACATAGCTTAGAAATTCAAGATGGTGGTGAGATTAAACCTCTAGCCTGTTGCTTACAAGTCACCATTGCCACTTTATATAAAATTTTATCTGTTAAAAACAAAGGACACTCCACAGGACTACTTAAAGGCAAAATCCTGCCAAAAAGTGATTTTTTAATACATCTGCACTAGATAATTTGCCCTTTCTTAAAAAAGGCATGTTGTTAACTTATAAAATGTTGCTTCTGGATGGAGTAATTTAAGATAGTTGGATGAGTGCTATGTACATGTAAAATGTTATGTATATAAAAATTTTAATAGAAATATTTCTTATCCTAGAAGCATATGACTGAAGTAAATAAAGCAACAACTCTAGTGAGAGAGGTGAGTGGTTACCTTGGCAATGTATACTCTTCCTGCTTTGGAAAATCCCGGGCTCAGCTCCTCAACCTACAAAGAACAGAGAGGAGGGTGGGTCAGGGCAGAGGAAAGCAGACATGAGGCTATACAAAGGACACAGTTTAAACATTTAATGCCTATATCAAGTTTGTTACATCTCTTTAGAAAAAATTACTTAAATTAGACCAGTAAACCCCACTCTAAGTATACAAATCTGTTTAAGAATTTTACATAGGTGAGCTTGACTTGGTTAGTAAAGTCCTCAGATTCTCATAAAGTGCCTGTGATTCACTGAACAACATTCATAACAGAAAGTCAAGGTTATGAAGCCAAGCATTCAGAAGCTAAGAGAAACTCAGAACCATGATCGCCTGTGCAACTACTCTATTTTTCATCTCCTTGCCAAATCGGTCTCATCCATTTTGCCTTCTCCTGAACATATGGTGCCAAAGCTCAGGAATCTTTCCCAAATTTTCTATTTTCCACTTCCTACTTACTATTTCCCAGTTTCTAATGACTAATGCCCTTCTGCTTTCTCCCCTTCATCTCAGTTCTAGTCATCACTCTCCAAGCACCTTTGTTCAGCATGTTAACTACTATCACCCTTTGGTTTGACCTTATCCCATCTGCATTCAAATTAAATGTCCTCTACCGAGACGCCTGAGCCCATTAAGGGAAGCACTGAGAACATATGAGAGATAATGTCCCTGTCTTGAGGGCTGTTTTCTGGACTTAGACCTAGTTCAGCCTGTGACCACCCCAGAGCTGCAATTTTCAGGAAGACCTCCATTCCTCTGAAGCACACTAACTGTGGCTGAAAGCTGAGATGAACTCTGCTGAGCACATGCGAACTGCACTTTTCAAGGGTATAACTAGCTTCCAGAGGGATGCTTTTGTATCCTTTTAAAATTCTCTCCATATTTGACCAAAGCTAAATGGCAGAAAAGTTCAAGTTCCTGTTTCAAATCACAGGGCCACTACAATTTATCAACAAAAATTACGATTTTTTTTTATTCCTATGGACAGAAACAGAACACTTTGCCTCAAACCTACTCTGAAATGATTTAATGCTTTTTGGCTGAAATTTTCAAAAGGATATAGCCTCAGGCAGACACCTATCACAAGCTTTCATCTCAATTACATTTTGGCAAATTATATGCAACTGAGAATAGTGTGATATTCTCTGACACTTAGAAAAACTGCTGGCCCAATCAACAATTTCTGAAGTGACAGGGTAATTTATTTCTGTAACACTTCATCAGCAGCATTCAAGAGTAGTTCTCACAAACACAGCCAAAACCCATCTGTTCACATCGTGTAGACTCTAGCAACGAGCAAGAGCTATATGCTCCCAAATGTGTTTCAGGTCATGTCTTAAATACTTTTTCATCAACGGGAAGGAAAAGAAAAAAGGATATCTAGAGGGTAGGATTCCTACATCTTAGCAAGTACTGCATAGAAGTACATAAGCAATGCGTCTCTGAAAGCTTAAAGAAGTCAGGTTTAAAAGTTCCAGTTGAGAACCTTGACCTAATAAGACAGCCTTCTTATAACAAAAACCTCCGAGAGAAATAAAAAAGGGAGAATGTTAGGCATATCTATGCAAGTTTTGCCACGGATGAGTTCAAACAGCTCTCGCAGACCACAGAAGGAGTACAGACCATAGGCATTTAAATATCAAGCACTGTATCATTCCTTTTGGCAGTTTATAAATGGAAAGACAAAATCCTCAGAACATTTCAGATCTAGTTCTGAGGTCTTCAGAATGCTTTTTTATGTCAGTTTATTCTGAAATTTTTGCTTTCACCAGCTTTTCCTCCTCAGATTCTAGTCAATGGAGATATATCATAGGGTATTTGGAGACCGTTGAGTTTAAGTAGAACATAGGTACTCAAATTCCACACTTGTGATCATATTCGTCAGTTGAGTGATTCCCTTGCTTATCAGATTTCAGTACCCTTAAAAAGTTTTGCAGTGCATCTTGTACAGTGGCTGTAGGAGGGGCTTCAAACAAAGCAGCAGCAGTCTTTTTTTCAAGCCATCCCAGATGGGAAACCTGCCAAAAAAAAAAAAAGATGAAGCTATCAAACCTACCATACACAGAAAGCATATGCAAAAGCATACAAAGACAATGAACTATCCAGTTTTATGTAGCTATCTCACAGAACTGAGAGAAAGCCAAAAGTCATGATAGTGTCAGCAGATTCTGATCAAGTATACAAGTCCAGCTATAGAATTAAACCTGATTTGCTTGTTCTTGTCCCTAGCTCATACTACAAGTCACATTTTGCATACATCAGCAGCCACATGCAGAACACTGCAAATAAGATTTGTCTTTACAATTGGATATTGCCACAGTGCAACAGTGTGGGTGGTCTAAAATCCAAAACTACCTTATTGCAATCCTACCAGTTCCTGGCAGTTCTCACCTATGCATCAGAGCAAACTCACACACATAGCCATCCTGTCTCCCAGATTAAATCTTTCACAAGAACATGTCCTCACCATACAAAGACCCCTTAAAAGAGACAGGCTAAAGCCTTCCCCCTAACACATATTCATACTTTGAGTAGGTACCTATTATAACCATTCCATGAAATCTTACTGTCCTGCTCCCAGCTCCTCTCTAATAAAAAGCTCTGAGATTCCAGCAAAGGAAAGAAAGCATACAACTGTAACTTCTGATAATACCTTCTTCACTTAGCACTGTATAACTCACAATATGCAGAATACCAGGAGTACTAACATATTTCTACGTATATCTGCCTTTGTCTTGTAGCTTCTGCAGCTATAAGAGTAGTAAGGCTGAGCAGGAAGTAAACAACAGAATAAGGAGCTAAGAGCTTCCACTAGATTAACTAGTAATTACCTATGTCAATTATCTCAGCCACAATCTCTGCAATGTGATTTCATTTTTGACAGCAGCAAAGAACTTTCAAATTGTATAAACTGAAAAGTAGATAGTTACTGCAAACTCTTATTTCTTTTTATAGGCACTAAATCTGACTTATGGTATTTGACTCCAAGCCTTTCCTTGACAAGAATGCCAAGAATTAGAAGGCAGCTGGCACGATTCTTCCAATACCTCCGATTCCTCTGCTCTTGCTGCAGAAAGTAACGCATGCAAAGGATTAGACAGATACACTTTATTATGCAGAAGCTCTCACCAGCCCTGATATATGCTTGATCACATCCATATGTGCTTAAAGGATTGAAGGTAGTTTGTTTTTACTGAGTAAAGCATGGGAAACAGTAAAAAGCATGAGCTAGTTTGCAGCTAGTGCTTTTCCTGTACCATTCTTTGCCATTCCACCTCTCTTGCTCCCTGCAATGAATAAGAAGCTAAGTCTGGAGTTCTAGAGGGTTTGGGTCTCCTCTTTTTGGCAGTTCAGAAATAATACTTTTAGCAAACCGCTGCCATCTGGTAAAGAGACAAAAAAAGGAGAAGATGGAGGAGCAGAATGGTGGAAATAAATAAATGAAACAGCAAAAAAGTCAGTAACTCTTAATCTGTTCAACTGAGGTACAGGAAATACTTTAAAAGACTTTTGTTGATTCAAGGACAAAAGTACTATAACAGCAATGACCTTGCCAATATGAAGCAGCACTCTTCGTGCCAGAGCTTTAAAAAGCTTCAGCAGGGTTTCAGTACCACAGACCTTTCTTTACCTTCTAAGCTTTTGATCATTAGTACAGAGCAACACATGGAAAACGCACTCAGCAAGCATTTGTCCTGATTACCAACTAAGCATTTCAATAGTATTCTCTCTCACTAATGTGGAACCTGAGCTCACATAAACGGTCATTAAAATCCTCTACCAGTCTAGGACTTCAAGTGGTAACACAGTATGAAGGTAATAATTTTAGGTTTAGCAGGAGGAAGATAAGAAGGAGATGGACTGCCTAAAACTTCTCAATTACAATTAAGAAAAAAAACTTAGATGGAAAGATGAGACAAATTCTGAATGAGACACTGTCCTGGCATACGTTTCATAGTACTTTTAAAACAGTGAACATTAGCCTTTACAGTATTAGAGGTTTCTGAATGCAGTATACTTACAGTATTCCTATCATCAATGGGCTGTTCTTGGCATTGTTTCAGGACTGAAATGAAGAATTTCTAGACCCCACACAAGTATAACTTTTAAGCTATTTCTTTAAGTTATCAAGACATTTCCATACAATTCTACCCATTCTTTCTTGCTGAATTCAGCAATTGCACAGAACGTTCTCAAGGCTTGTGGCTGGTGGTTTGAATCCACATATCTTTTACCCAAACGTCAAATTCCAAGAAAGAAAACAGTAAGAAAACAGTAATAAGCTATTTTACCTGGTAACACCACCTGCCCAAAAGATAGTAAGACTTTGGATCATCCGGTTTCAATGAAATTGCCTTATCAATGTGTTCCTATGGAAAATCATCACCAACATACATCACATACTTGTTATAAGCAAGCACAAAGTCCACAAGAGCAGATAAACTTATGTGAAAGGAGGAAAGGAAGGAGAAAGCCCACAATTTAAGTGCCAGTGATCAATAAAGTTACAGCTATAAAGAGATTACAAATTTCTTAAAGTGGTTTCAGTAATCATAGAAAAACCAGCATTATCAGCCTTAGAAACAAGAATTACTACGCAAAAAAAAAGAACCTGCCCTTCATTTTACTCTACTACCTTTTCAGAGCTTTGATACAATCAGATTACTGGTTATGTGAATAGCTGAGCAGGTAATAATTATACATGGCCTGTTCTGTAGTAACTGCTTCAGGTGCAACCCTTCATCCTGTAATATCCTTGCTGAGGATGAAAGGTAAATAAAGGAATCTGACACAGCTAAGCACTCCAAGAAAGATTAACTACTTTGCATTTACTGAAGGCTACAAACACACTCACAGGCAATTATTGAGGAAAAGTTGGTGCAGTATCTAATTACCACATGGTAACTTCATGTTTAAAGGTCTCAGTTTTCCTATGGGTATACATATATTTTATTTGCAAGAATTTTATTCCTCCTCTTTTTCCAAGATTATAGTGTGCACAGGGCACACAGTCAGATCCAGTTACCCCCAACACAGTTGCTGACTACATCATTGGCATCACCTTCCCCAGCCCGCATTACCCACCAAGCATTCTCTGAGACCTATCGCTTCTCTAATAAGAGCTTGAGCCAATTTTCCTAGCTTACCATAAGCACTGTTAAACACTCGCACAAGAACAGCATGTCCTTTTTTACTCACCTTAAAAACATACCCAACTTGAATGCGCTTCTGAATGCTCTCATGTTCTGATAACTGTCCACAAAGAATGGCATACCTAACATAAGACACATTTGTAAGAAATCACATGGTGTCAACTGTTTCAAAAAAAAAAAAAAAAAAAAAAAACACGTTTTACATTCTGTAGGTATCTTCCTTCTGAAGATATCAAAGTGCATATAAGTTTCATAACTTCCTGGGGAAAACAGGGAATACCATACATCTTTTATGGGGAAAGAGACATACACAGGAAGAATTCAGTGCACAAAAAGGTATCAGCTCAAAGGAGGTGAGCAAGTCAAAAAGCAGTGGTTTGACGTGACACGAAAGCCCAGTGCATTAATCACTAGAAAGCCTTCTTTCTATATAAAACAGTAACAGCACAGCATACTTCTACACTGATTTTTTTTTTTACTCAACAATGAAACTGTCAAAATACAGAGCACTGAAGAGTAAATTCTACTACAGTAACTGCCATAACTACTAAGAGCTCTAATCAACTATAAGGCACACAACAATCATCCACTCCCAATACCAAATCTATAGCACACTGGATGTCTACTTTGAGGGAAAATATCAGTAAAACCTACCTATATCCTGCAGCCCAAAACTGCAACCACACTTGGGAAACAAAATAATACGTTTTTTCAGTGCTGCAAGTCAAACCAATTTAGTTTTTTCTAGTAAGAGGCCACAAGAGAAGCACAGTACCTAGTAAAACTAGTTATTTCATGAGCAGCAAAAATAATGAAGCTTAGTTACCGGTGGATTTACACTCATCTCACCTCCCTGCACCACATCCATTCCAACCCGCTCTGACCCTGCAGCGCGGCTGCATTGCTTCCCAATAAAAAAATGAAACTGTAGAGCTGTGCAAATGGACAGCTGCCAAATGGAATATGTAAAGTGACATTTTGGCTGCACTAATTCAGTTTTGGCACTCCACCCAGCCCACTAACGTGAGAGCGGAAGGAAAGCAAGAGGCTTTTACCACTCTTACCTAATATCTTTTTGCACTACTGACCAATTTCAGATAAAGCTCATGGATGGACAAACGAACAGCAGAAGTACAGAAGCCTCGTTATTTCACAAATTAAAGGCAAAAAGGAAAAAGATCCAAGTAAAACCTCCTTGACATTTCCTTTACAACATTCATAGCTCTAATGTCCAGCTGTGTTGATGGATACCCTGGCTCATCTTGTCATGTGATATGCCAACGCTTCCTTGAGATGGTTAACTACAACAGATGTTCAGCAAGGCATTTCATAAAAATTATTCAGAAATTCTGCTTGCTGGCATGAAAAAAAAAACAAACAAAAAAAACCACAAAGCATTTCACACCTTATTATTCCTGCCTTTCAAAATGCCTGAATTAACTTTTCAAGGTGTAAGTTACAGTACAAAAAGTTTTCTTTCTCAAACTCTCTCCTGCAACAGTAAACCCAGAACATAGCAGTGATGTTGCTACTAGGTTAGTAAAGCACACTATTGCAGGGACACCAGCAGAACGAGCAGAGAGGAAGACTGCACATTTCGCATTACCTTCTACCTCCTACAGCAGGTAATGTACTACACAAAGGTTCCTTTACAAGCTCCAGTTTTATTTCCTGAATATTACTGTTATCTCATTCTTTTTTTTTCTAAAAGATGTTGATTTTTTTTTAAACTTTGGTTCAATTCTAGAAGTCTTATTTTCACAACAATGGAAAAATATGAACAGATCAATGCCTTAATTGCAGAGATCCCTTTCCCCAAACTGAAAAAAATTCATATCTGCACAGCCACTTCCAGATGATACATAATTGTTTTTATGCTCTCCCCAAGTTCATTTCACAACAAACATCAGCCTATGCTAAATATACTTAAATAGAACGTGACTGAGATTTATAAATACAAGACAAATATAAAGGGCCTGTTTTCTAAAGCCACAAGATTTATTTATTTATTTTTATAAAATAAACACATAGTCTGCAGCCCTGGCTTTTGCATAGTAAATTGTCAGAATATGGCTCTTCTAATCATACTGTTTAGACTCCTGAATATGTGGGCAGGGATTAAATGCATTTAGATCAGGTTTAAGGTCCGACTACAAAATGTAAAACCTGGAAACAACATTCCTTTTTTTAAAACGGAAGCTAAAATTGTGGCTAGCCTCCCTTTATATTACCTGTCCTCCTTCAAGGAAAGTCTCACAAACCCCTTCAAACAAATGACTGATCCCATGGCACACCGAGCTAGCTCAGTCTGATCCCTCCATTTCACAGAATCACAGAAAGGTTGAGGTTGGCCGGGACCTCTGGAGATCATCTAGTCCAATCCTCCTGCTCAAGCAGAGTCATCTAGAGCATATTTCCCAGGATCACATGCAGACGGGTTTTGAATATCTCCAGGGAAGGAGACTCCACAACCTCCCCGGGTAACCTGTTCCAGTTCTCTGTCACCCTCAAATGACCTGCCTACGGCTACAGCAGCCATACAAATATCAAATGGGGTAACATTCAGCTGTTAAGATTATTATCATATCTTATGTGTTACATACTTTGTTTTTAAAAACATCCCATTAAAATGTTTAGTAGTAAATAGTGGCCCTATGATATTTTCGTGACATAATTTAAAAATAAACAAAAGAACAGTATGAGATTCCCGAACAGTTTTTTCACTGTAGTCCCAGAGTAAAAGACAGTAACTCAAATCAGATCTGCTGGTCTCAGCCCTTTGCAGGAACCTTCTTTTTCAACGTGTGCCTTGTGGCCCCGAGCCCCTGGCCTGTCGGTTGTTCTTACAGGCAAGACCCTGCAGCTCGGAGCTTTCTGGCTGTTGAGGTCTTCAGACCCTGGATTCCCTTCCTCACTCTACTTGCAATGCCACCATGGTGTCTGCTTTTATCTCTCCTACTTGTTTAACTTGGCTTGTTCTTCAATATTTGAGCTATTAATCCCCATTCATTTTGTGAAACGCCTTGGGATGAATTTCATGAGAGGCACTATTGAGTTGCTGGAAGATTAACTAATAATAATAAGATGGACTAAAAATAATGAAAAGGGGGACTTTCTTCTTCTGCAAAGATTATAACCTCTGAAACACTGTTCAGATCGATATCTAAGCAATTACCAAAACTTTATATTATGCTATTTGCTGGATTAATTATTAACCAGAACTATTCATTAAGCTGCTGCCCTTGAGCAAACCACAAGTTCCCATTGGAATCTCAGCTCAGTAAAGATTTCCCTGTTTATTAGAAAATGAACTCTGCAGAACAGGAGTACAGATACTAGCAGATGAGAGACTGTTTGTTCTTTCTGCTTAAACCCCAGAGCTCAGTATACGCAGCGCTGAAGAAGCTTCATTTTCAAGACTGCCCTCTGGCTGACGCCCATTTGAGCAAAACATTTGGCCTCCAAACACAAAATAAACAACTCTCCCTGGTCCAGCACCTCCAATTTCACGATTAGGGTGGCTTCACAACCCAAATACACTACTCATCTCTTTCAGTTAGTGAGTCTTTGAAACAGTAAGTCTGCTGATGTTCCTTTCTGCATAGGATAAACGTTAAATTAAAAAGAAATGATCAGGTAAATGGGGGGGAAGAGAAGGGGAAAGAAATGGTTAGAATTAGCTATTTTCCAGCACATTGGTAAAGCGAAAGTGTGTGTTTTATATTGCCAAAGACAAATCAAATATTAATGTCAGACCACTGACAACAGCATGAAGACATGAAAGTCCTTTCATTTTACTGGGATAAAAATTTGCTTCACACATATTAAAATTAGCTGATTTTAATGTCACACAAGTTAATCAGCTAGATCATATTTGTATTCAATCACCATGATCTGTAAACTGAAAATATCAATGTTAGCCTGTAAAATTGTTGAATGCTATTCAGGCAGCATTGGTAGTGAGAGTGGTGTAAATCAAGAGAGAAGTTTTATCATATACAGGTAAAGAAAAAAAAATTCTAGTCTTAACTCAATTTTCAGTCACCAGAGTCAGAGGAAAGCTAGAAAGGAAAAATACCTTTCAAATCAAGTAACTAATTCCAAGAAGCAACACCTTGGGAGAGACAACAAAAGTCCCAATGGCTTAACATGAAATTAATGAGCAGTTGGTCATAAAGAGCTTGGAAAAAAGTGGTCAAGCCTTAACTTTTCTATGCTTGAAAGAAGGGGAGACAAGATCCAAGGAAAAAAATTAATCTGAATAATTGCCATGTATTGCCATAAACTTGTCTGTACAGAGAAGTCAGTGAGGACATCAGGGCATAAATTCACAAATCACCAGCTGCTCTATATTAATTCCCCATTTGGCTATACTTAACAGCAGTGCACTCCAAGTGGAAGTTAAAGACCATTAAAGACCAAAAACATCAATATGGGATAGCTTCTGTATTCCAGTTTTACAACCTAGTATTTTATACTAACTTCCTGGCATAGATGAGCTGCAAGTCAAGGTTTAGTTTTGCCATACTAGTGTAAGAAGTCTATGGGCTACAGGCCAGTTGAATAATAAATGTTAGTTTACTTTGAATAACACCATCTCACTTTGCTGTATTCACCGCTGCTCATACCACTTCTCACATAAGGGTAAGATTTCATCAAGAGCCGTGCTAGTATGATATGGGAAATAAAAAGCCCAGTTTCAGGCCTGAAAGAGCAAGCATTTATGCCCATTTAGTGAATCTACATGTATGGCCTAGTTTAAAATGGGACTTGGAAGATGATGGCATACATGCTAGAAATTTAAGTAGTACAAATCATATTCTGGAATAGAAAAACACTGTAATTTACCATTACTGTGGCAACTTTCCATGGAGATTAAAATTTCTGCATTTATCTTCACACTAACAGATTGCATCGAAAACTGAATTGCTAAACAATGGCTTCATCCTTGCTCTCACTTACAAAAACACCTAAATCTGCTCTTAAACTGTAAGAAAATCAAGTTTGTGGATAGGAACATTTTTCAGGATTCTTCCCACCACTCCTAAAAACATTTCATTTACTAAATTCTGAAAACTGGCTACTGCCCAAAGTCACAAACTTATTTCCATAGGAAGTAGGT